TTAATGATAAAATTGATATTCTACCGTCCTGATTTGTTCCTAAATTAGTGCGTTTCAGTTATATTATATATTTTGATATACATAATTATTATGTATCCGAGATACATATCTTGTAGGAGGAATGTCAGATGCAAGCATCATCGGTTTCAAAATGCTTTGTTGCCGGAAGAATTTTGAATTTTCTTACTTTTTGGATTAATGATAAAACAAATACTCTACCATCGTGATTTGTTTCTACATTAGTGTGTTTCAATTGTATTCTATAATTTGATATATTCTCTTATTATATAAGAGGGAGTTTATGATGGGACATTGTGATGTCCAATCATAAACTCCCTATATAATATATAATATATAATATATAATATAATAAATCATTTTTTCTACTATATAATATATATTTGTTTTTCTACTATAAGGGAGTTTATATAATATATAATAATATAATATAATAAATCATTTACAAATGACTTAAAATATTTCATAGTTAAAGGATATATAATAAAATATGTTCGCTCTCAAAATTCTATCCGGGTCACATATATTGGGACAGAAAAAATAACATATATCATTTTAAAATTACCAAAAAAATATTATAAATAATAATAATTAACAACTTAAAATATCTTAAAGACATTTTAAAAGGGTTAATTTTGTAATTGTAATTTCTACTATATAATAAAAGGGAGTTTATATAATATATATTCTACTATTATATAATATCATAATAAAACCCCTTTTATTATATAGTAGAAATAAATATAATATATATATATATATATATATATATATATATATATATATATATATATATATATATAATATAATATAATATAATATATAATAATATAATATAATAAATCATTTACAAATGACTTTAAATATTTAATATTTAAAAGATATATAATAAAATAGGTTGACTCTCAAAATTCTATCCGGGTCACATATATTGGGACAGAAAATATAACATATATCATTTCAAAATTACCAAAAAAGTATTATAAATAATAATAATTAACAACTTAAAATATCTGAAAGACAATTTAAAAGGGTTAATTTTGTAAGTTTATCCATATCACATAAATTAGGACAAAGTGACCAGCAATGTAAGTTATTTGAAAGTTACATAAAAATATTATAAATCACAATAATTAATAACTTAGAACATTTTTTTAAAAATGCAAATTTGGATGACTCTTCAAATTTCATTTGTGTCACATAAATTGAGACAACAAAAATAACATATATTGCGCCCATTTTAATTTATTTGTCTTAATTTTTTTTTAAATTTTTTAAAAATTGCGTAAAATTACTATAAATCATGATAATTGACAACATAAAAAATTTCAAAAATAAATACATATAAAAAAATTCGATTAATTCTTGAAATTAATCTATCGTTAAAAATTATGTATAAAATACAATAAATCGTGATTTTGACCACTTAAAATATTTATTAAAAAAACAGAAAAAATAAATTGACTGATTCTTAAAATTAATCTATCAATGTCACATAAAATGAGACAAAAGTAGTAATATGTATTGTTTAATGGTAAATTATTGAAAACTACGTAAAATGTATTATAAATGTTAACAATTAACAACATTTGATTGAATCTTGAAATTTTATCAATGCTACATACATTGAGACAAGTGGAGTAATATATATTAAGTATTTAAAAATTACGTACAACCATATTGCTTTCTGTAGGCTTTGAATTATCGTGGTCATTTTTTTGGCTGATACAAGTTTTGTACTTTTTTTTAATATTATAAATCGCAATAATTAATAATTTAAAATATTTTAAAAAATATATTAAAAATTTAGTTGGTTTCGGGAATTTTATTTATACTATATAAAATGGGACAAAGGAAGCAACATATATCATTTACAAATGACTTAAAAAGCATTAAAAATTAGAATAATTACCAATTTAAAATATTTAAAAGTTATATAATAAAATAGGTTCACTCTCAGAATTCTTTCAGGTTCACATATATTAGGACAGAAAAAATAACACATATCATTTTAAAATTACCAAAAAAGTATTATAAATAATAATAATTAACAACTTAAAATATCTGAAAGACATTTTAAAAGGGTTAATTTTGTATTTTTATCCATATCACATAAATTAGGACAAACTGACCAGTAATGTTGGTTATTTGAAAGTTACATCAAAATATTATAAATCACAATAATTAATAACTTAAAACTTTTTAAAAAAATAAAATAAAATTTGGATGACTCTCCAAATTTTATTTGTGTGACATAAATTGAGACAACAAAAATAACATATATTGGGTCCATTTTAATTTATTTGTCTTATTTTTTTTGGGTTTTTTATATTTAAAAAATGCGTAAAAATATTATAAATCATGTAATTGACAACATAAAATATGTTTTGAAAAAAAAATACAAAAAATTCCACTCATTCTTTAAGTGAATCTATCGTAAAAATACTATAAATCATGATAGTTGACAACATAAAATATTTCAAAAATGTTGTATGTGGATAGTCTTATTGTGCCTTGAATAGCGTCAAATAAAGTACAAGTTTGTGATAAAAAAACTTATTCCTTTATCCACGCAAACAATCGCTTCAAAATCTCCGTTATTAGCCCCAAAACATACCATTTATATTATTGGGCCCGTGCCCGTGCCCGTGCATAGCACGGGCAACATTACCTAGTATAATTATATGTATATGTTATTATGTATCCGAGATACATGTTTTTGAATATAATGTATAAATTAATACTAGATATATATAAAAGATACATGAAATTAATACTAGACCCCTATAACAAATGCACGAAATTAATACTAGATACTTTTATGATACATATGAATGTATTTGTTTGATACTCATGTATCCAAGGAGTCGTTTGGTAGAGTGTATAAGAATAATGTTGAATATGATGTATTAGTAATGCATGCATTAGTAATGCAAGCATTAGTAATGCTTGCATTAGTTATGCTTGCATTATTTCTTATACATTGTTTGGTTTGATGTATTGGAAATTGCAAGCCTTGTATAAAGACTATTAAAAATATATTTGTTTACAAAAATACCCCCACATTCTTTTACAAAAATAATAATAATAATAATAATAATTATTATTATTATAATAATAATAATAATAATTATCATAATTATAATAATAATAATTATAATTATAATAATAATAATTATAATTATAATAATAACATAATAATAATAATTATTATTATTATTAGAGGGTAGTTTTGTCATTAGTTAATCTAATGCATGTATTAAAACCATTGCATTGCTAATACCTAGAAATCCATGGTATTAGCAATACACACCTTAATACACAATAGAGTGTATAACTAATGCAAGCATTAGTTATACATAGGTTGGAAAAGAGTACCAAACAAGGTACTAGTAATACACAATGCTAATGCATGCGTTATTTTTCCTAATACACTCTACCAAACGACCCCTAAGTGTTTAGTTTGTTGGATACATTATATATTGATAATAGATACATCAAATTAATGATTTATTATTTTAAGGATAATAAAATGAAATTAATCAAATTACATAACCAAAATATACATGTTTTTGTCTTTTATTAATAATATTAATGAATTTATTATTTCAAATAATAATAAAATGAAATTTATTAAACATAGATATACTTCTTGATTTCTGCCTTAAATTTAAAGGATTTGATTAATTTAATTCCAAAATTAACCGTCCATATATTCTGAAAATCCTCAATTACTCCACTAATTAAGGAAATCAGTTACAATCAATTAATTTAAATAAATAAAATGCGTATCTCAGTTTTAAAATTCGGCAGATACATGTATCTCACAGATTCAAACTCATGTATCCTAATCATGAAATATGGTAGAGGAAGTAATATTTAAAATTATTGGGAATCTTAGTAATTAGGACCTAAACTAGTGAGATTTATGTAGTTCTCCCTTTTAAGAACCAGTTTTAGACTTTTTAGGGACTAATTCCCCAAAATTAATACACATTTTTCTTGTAGTATTCGTTTCTGAAGTCAACAACTTATGTTGATCAAGAAATTTCATTTTTTTGCTAAACGTTTTATATATTTCACATAGGTATGTATTTTTTTTTTATCAAAAAGAAAATTGATTTTGATTTGATTTCTTTATTCGAGAAGACTAAACTAGCTAAAGATAAATAAAATCAGATAATATTCTATTATTTGAAACCTTCTTTCATTGATTAATTAACCTTTCGTATATTTATGAGAAATCTAGCTCAACTTATTTTATTTTATTTTTAAATTTGGGGGCGATGTTTTGGAATGAAACGATTCGAATTGCTAAAAAATAAGAATAAGTTATGTTTTAAAAGGTTAGTTAGACCCGCCTAACAATGGCACCAAAAAGAAATGTTCCCTTTAATGAATAAGGAGTCACTATGTTCAGCCAAATCAAAAATTCAATTTAAAATCAAATTATCCCTTGAAAAGTGATTAATATTTAGTAGTAAACATTAGTTTTGCCTTCAAAAAATTGTTGTTATGTTGAACATTATTGATGAAATAGATAAAAACAAATAATCTTATAAATGAAATAATATTTTTTTTATATATACGTGAAACTAATATTTTTTTATATTTTTGGCGGGACATTTCCAAGAGGATTCACATGATTCAAATCAAAGGGTCAGATCATAGATGACAAAAATCAAACTCAATTCATTCAAGGTTAGGTGGGTAATTGACCCATTTATTTTCTAGTTCGACTCACTGTAACCAATTGAAAATTGAACTAATATGTAGTTCAGATTTACTCATGGAGATTTTTTTTCAAAATATATTTAAAGAGACATATTTTTATTTTATATGATATATAAAATCATAATAAAAAATAGTAATTTTATTAAATACTAAAAATTAATAAATAAATAATTCAATTTATTTTAATCCGATCAAATTCAACCAAATAAAGACCCCTTAGGTCCAACCATCCCACAACTCAGGTTGGTTAGCCATTGGTCACACTAGTAAGGTTGTTCAACTTGTTCGGTTCTTCCAAGTCTCATCAACCTTGTTATCTCCGCCTCCACTTCATTCTTCTCCTTCAAATCTCCTTCACCTTAAAGCCTAAAAACCACTTCGTTTTTGTCGCCCCCAATCCGTCTTCTCCAAAGACCCCTTTTTTTCAATGGCTTCTATGGCTATATCCCAATCTGTCTTTTCCACCCCCACTTCTCAAAGATTTGAGAATGCCTCTTTTCCATTGCCCTCATCGATGCTCAAACAATCTCTTGTTACCTTCAGATCTCATTCATTGTCCACCCATTGCAAGAAGATACGGAATAGTGTCATCACTAACTGTGCTGCTCCAGACAATGATTCCAAAATCGAAACCCCAATTGAATTGAGTATGCAATTACTGCGTTTATTTGTTTTATTTTTTTCGCTTTTGCTTGTTCTAATGTTTGGAATCTTGATTTGCTTACAGGGTACCCAGCATTTCCTACTGTGATGGATATCAATCAGATTCGCGAGGTTTTGCCCCATCGGTATGCATTATGTTATCTGTTTGTAAAAATGTTTGTTTGTTGTGTTTCATTAATGACTTGACACGATAAATTATTTAGTATTGGGGTATGAAATTGACGTGAATGGGGTTGGATAGATTTCTAGGACTTGTGGCCAACTAGTTTAGGATTGAGGCATAGTGGATTGATTACTTTACTGATGAGAGCTGCATTGTATTCAGTTTTCCGTTTCTTCTAGTGGATCGAGTGATTGAATACAATCCAGGAGTGTCAGCTGTGGCCATCAAGAATGTGACTATCAATGATAATTTCTTTCCTGGACACTTCCCTGAGAGGCCAATCATGCCTGGTGTCCTCATGGTTGAGGTATGCTTATGACTTGTCTGTTATTCCATGAAACTGACTGAATTTCCATTTGCATTAGTTAAAGGTTCTATCTTTTCGGTTTCTTATTGAATGTGGTATAGCTTTTCAAAACTATGAAATTGGATGAATTAGTTTTCCTATCACCTATTTCAGATTTTAATGTCTAAACTTTTCCATATATCATGCTGGTTCATGTTGTTATTAAACAGATAAGTGAAATCCGTACTTTGAGTTGCTCTTTTTGTGGCTTGGTTTTCAATATTACTTGGAAGAGGGCTTCTAATGAGTTATGAAAGTTCACGAGATAATTGACCCACTGAGTGTTCCGCAGTTAAAGAAAATAATAAATCTATTCAGGAAATGGGGCTAACTGGATGAATTGGACTTGAGTTTTTGACATATTTATTAAACCGGATTTTTCTTTGATCTCTTAGGTATCCACATAAAGATCTTTTATTATTTCAGAATTCTCTTCTACCTGAACTAATTAACTTTCTTTTCCCATCTTGGTTCTTTTGTCCAAGTAAAATTGTGAGAGCCAGAAGATAGCTGAAATTTAATCCTCTATCAAAAAGAAAAGTGAAAGTGAATAGTATTTTATGTTCTGCTGACTGGAATTTTTTCTTATAATTAATGAATCTTTTACGACATTTTTCACTATGACCAAATTGTTCATAGGAAGAATCTCCTGCCATTTTGTGAAATTGGAACACGAGTGAAATGTCATTACAATAGTAGGATTTTAAGGGAAGCTTTTAAAACATCACATACTATGTACTAATTGGGGAAGAAAATCACATATTATGTCCTTAACCTTTTGCTCATTTCCTTTTTCATTATCTTCTTTGATTGTGAACATTCAGAGCTAGCTCCTGCAAATGCTTGAGTATTCTGGTTGAAAGAAAGTCATCGTCCTTTTATCTTCATACTCACTCGAACCTTTTGGAAGACGTTTATGCACTATTAAAAACTGTCATACTCATACCACAATTTAGTAGTGTTGCGCACCAATTTTTGTCTCACATTTGAAAAAGACAGTATTTGTGATATCTATTACAAAGTGCTTAAAACTCCATGTGCTTAGACACCAAATTCCTCCTTAACTATTATGATATATCCTTATTGGAACCTCTCTAGTGGTGCTTCCTGAACCAAATGTCATTATAACATGGAAGATTATGTGTGTTAATTCTAGCAATAAACAGGCTGTTCTGAAGCTGGATAATAGAAGTGGAAGTAGATTAAGTCTAAGTGAAAAGGCAATAGCTTGATTCCATTGTTATCGTACAAAAAGCATGGAGGATCACACGTTGATGGCCTCAGAGAATGCTAAATGACATTAGTTACTGATAAAGCTGTACCTCCCCAGGTTTTCAATGGACCTATTCTCTATGACAGTGGGGAAGTCCTGATCTCCAGCCTTTTCGGATTTGTTCCTAACATATCATTCTAATCTCAAATCGTAGAGTATTAGATTATCAGGATTTGGGTTTACTAAATACAGGCAGAACTACAACGTAAATCTTTCTTTGTAGAAGGAAATTCTAGAATTCAATTTAACATGAAAAACTATTATAACAATTTATGAGGAAAAGGGAAGTTAATGGTATAGGTAGGATGAGTTGTATTGCAGAATTGTGCAAAGTGCATCACTTATTTTCTTCTTCTGTTTAACTTATTTAGATGGAGTTGTCTAAATTTCTACTTGTTTGGTTATCTTACCTTTGTTGCTGCAAGGTTTTAATTTTATCAAAGTCTGATGAGTGTCTGTTTCTGTCAATCCAGGCAATGGCCCAAGTTGGGGGCTTGGTCATGCTCCAACCTGAAGTTGGAGGCTCCAAACAGAACTTCTTCTTTGCTGGAATAGACAAAGTAAGGTTCAGGAAGCCAGTGATCGCTGGTGATACTTTGGTAATGAGAATGACACTGATCAAGCTACAAAAACGTTTTGGAATAGCCAAGATGGAAGGTAAGGCATATGTAGGAGGGGATGTAGTCTGCGAGGGTGAATTCTTGATGGCTACAGGCAGTGAATAATGCTGTGAAAGCTACTACTAGGAATCTTTCCTAGCATCTAGATCAGTTCTTTCCTCCATCCAGCTGCCCCATTAATGTTAAACTAGGGAATCTCATAATTTTCTTTATCTGAAAGAGTAGTTGCAATCTATGAGCTTTTGGTTTCTTTCCTTGCCAAAGATAAACAGGATGAATGCGAATTACTGTATCTATGATAAGGTCAAGCTCTTTGAGTGCATTGTTATGACAATTATGATTCTGGTTGTATTAATATGTTTCATCTTATAATCCAGGAGGCAGCAAATAACTGACAACTCTGCCATCCTGGTTGAATTATTTATTTGGAAGGGTTTGTGCAACATTTTAATCAAATTTACATTTGTGACTGCAAGTTATACTCATTCTTGAACTAGGTTCTTCAGTTTTAAGTCATGATTATTGAATAATTTAATTGGTACTTCTACTACCATATTGCTGCCTCTGCATTGTTACAATTTATATACTGTCCCTTTGGGCCAAAGCATACAGAATTCGTAAGAGATAACTGTCTCAAGAGAGAAAAGCTTGAAGTGACAAATTCAAGTTTTGGTTACTTTCTTTCTACATTCAACGACTCTTTTACAGTGAAATATTTAATATGAAGTCTCTTACAAACCAAGAGCTCCAAGGGGTGTCTTCCCTTGTCCAGCCTCAAAATAGAAAATTAACATGGCTAACATAGCAAGTCTAGCATGCTTGATCTCAGCAAGCTTTAATCTCTCAAGCTTTTCTGTGTCGGGGACATAAACTCCATTGTTAAGTGTACCAGCTAATGCCAAAGGATCAAAGAATTTGCCACCAGGGTAACCCTGTTCGCCTGTGAAGTTGGCAAAGTTCTCAGCAGTCTTGGACCATGGAGTGGCCCAATCTATAGACTGAGAGTCATTGTCGAAGAAGTCGACCCACCTTTTGCTCTCAACCCAACCCATGAGGAGAAGCTGAGTGCCAAGAAGTGTGCCAAAAGAGAAAGGTGCAATAGCACCAGGATCAGCGCCAGCCTCAAACCATGGAATGCCACTCCATGCTTGACCAACAAAGATACCCAATACAGCAGCCATTGCCCATCTGCCATGAATGAGCTCAGCTTCTCTGTACCATTTCAAGAATGCAGGGTCCTTGCCAAGACCAAGTGGGTCAAAACCAAAGTCACCAGGGAGCCTGCAGGTACAAAATACAAGGTTAAGCCTTTGCAACAGAATGAATGAAATAAGAGGAGGGGAGGGAATTAAACTTTGTGTATGTAAAAGTAAACTTACGAGCCATCGAGCCACTCGGGGTCAACCAAGTTGCCACCAGCTTTTACACCAGGAATCCAAGATTTCTTGGGAGCAACAGCAGCAGCTGCCACAATGAACCTCTTGGGAGTGGCAACTCTGGCAGTAACAGGAGCACCTAACAAGGCTTGAGTTTTCTTGCCACCAGTCAAGAAAGAGGAGCTCAAGCCATTTAGCACTGCAGCAGCAGATGTGGTGGTCATGTTTATTTTGGATAGTGGTAAACTGCAAATGCAAAGTTTCTGTTTTTGAATATTGAAGTGAGATTCCTGGTTATATGGTCATGAGATCAAAAGAGGGCAGATGGTAAGTAGCCAAGTAGGATAAATGAAATCTAGTGGATAGATTTCGGACCAATGAGATGTTGAGCTCCATCTCTATGTCCCCTATTCGTAACCATACACGTGGACACCTCTACATGGGGTCTGTAATGCCCCTCTCTCAAATAAGAAGATATTGGGTTCTCTAAGAAAATGACATCTTAGTGAAAATAGAGAAAAAAAAAAGGTTTGTAAATGACATTGCAGTAGTTGAAATTTGTGAGCGACAACTAAAAGTGAGGTTTGAGGATGGTAAAGTTTACACAGACCTTACTTCTATTTTGTAGAGATAGAGGGAGTGTTTTCCGAAGACCCTTAGGGGTTGTTTGGTTCGAAAACAAGTTATGTTGGGATTAGTTTTTATTGCTTGTTTGATTTGTTGTATTATAACTAATAAGCATTGGATATTTTCTAAGAATTAGTTATTTGTTTACGAAAATACCCTCTATCTTATTTAGCTTTTTATATATAGTTTTTTATAAAGCTTTTAGTTACTCACTCTTAAAAATAAAATCAAATGAATCTCAATTATTGATAAGTTTACTATCCACATGAATCAAAACTGGAGCAAGCTATTGAGGCTAGTGGGGAGCATCTTTTCTTTACCGTCATTAGCAAAAAATTAGACAAATATAAATAAATCAAAAGTGGAGCAAAAACTGCACAATAACAATAACCATAATTGAATTGAAATTTGGTAAATTTGATAACATTTCTCGTTGCAAAAATAACTTTTTAACCAATTGCAAAAGAAACAAAGTTCAAAAAGGACTCAAATAGTTGAATAATTTTGTCAAACTAAAATTATAGATTTATTTGAAATTTATCAAAACAACATCTCATGAGCTGCAAAAAATTTTCAGCAACTTTACAAATGTGGAATAAAGATATGAAAAGTGATAATCAAATAGATTTCAAGGATATTCTCGTCATTTTGATTGTTTTATCCTAGAATAAGTTATCTTGGTATTGTTATTCCACCAAGAGGAAGGGATAACTTATCCCAATACTATTTATTAATCCTGGGATAAGTTATCCCATACTTTGTAACCAAACAAGAAATAAAGAGGCACTAAAAAGTTATCCTAGGACTATTTTCTCTTATCCATTACACCAAACGATCTCTTAGTTTTAAAAAAAAACCCTGCCAAACAATTTATGCAAATATGGGGGCAATCACAATAATACCGTTAATGTGAATTGGAAAGTGTTACATAACAAACAAGAGAAAGAACATTAATGAAAACTAAATAATGCAATAATTGGTGCCAAAACATACTAGTGAAAGCCAAAATTGAAGATCAAGAAACTACAAGAGTAGTGAAAGCTTATCCCGCAGAAAGAGAGAACTCTCAACTATCTACTAACCTTGTACCCTAATGCATATCGTTTGATTGGGAACAAGTTATCCCAGGATAAGTTATCTTGGGGTTAGCTATCCTAGGATAACTTATCCCATCGCTATGAATTATGATATAAATGGTGAGATAAGTTGTCCCAAACATGACAACCAAACAAGATACAAAAACTTTATCGCATCACTATTTTCTTATCTCATCACTATTTATTTCTATCCCTCACACCAAATGATCCCTAAGATACTAGGTTTATTTTGTCATTTATATTAACTTATATGCGCAATAATTTAATATTAAACCATCAATGCATAGAACCTATTTTTCTAGTTATTGACTCCAAACTTAATGGCCAAACACATATGCAGATCCTTAAACTTGTCCCTAAATTTCATTTTGGTACTCCAACTCAACCTTGTTCCATTTTAACCCTTCAACTCCAATTTTTATGTTCCATTTTGGCACTTCTTTCCAAAGAATCAACAAAGTGGGATGTGTGTACTTCACATGTCATTATTGTGTTAAAAAATAATGGATGAATATCATTTTTAAAAAATATATTATTTTTTTTGAGTTTCTGTACATTATTGTGTGAAAAAATAATCGGTGAAAGTGTGTTGATTTTTTTTAAAAAACAATTACTTAATTTAAATAACATCACATATTTTATTTTTTTCATATCTAGTTTACTTGGACTAACTCAAATATCAGCTTTCTAATTTTTCATTCAACTAAATACGAGTAAAAAAAAACTCATGTTCATTGCTAATTAATAACACTACAAAAAAATGTTGAAACTCGATAGACTTCGTTGGGTTGTCATTGATTTTTTTAAGAAAGAAAATTGTCGCACTTTCATCAATTATTTTTCACGCAAAAATATAGGAAAACTCTTAAAAAGAAATTGTTACTTTTTTTTATAAAAAAAAACAATGATAATCCGTCAGTTTTAATTTTTTACAATAATTAACAGATGATCGTCGATTTTTAAAATGCAAAATTGCAATTGAATAACATATATAGAAATAAAGAAATCATAAAATTAGTATTTTGTGTTAAATGGTACATAAAAGAAATAGAGTTGAAGGGTAATCTTTTATTATTTTTAAAAAAAAATACTTTTTTTTTGTCTTTTACTCTCTTAGAGAATGTGTGATGCACACTCTCTACCACATCACTTAGAAGTGCCAAAATGAAACATAAAAATTGGAGTTGAAAGATTAAAATGGAACAGGATTGAGTTGGAGTGTTAAAATGAAATTTAAAGACAAATTTAAGAATCTGCATAAGTGTTTGACCAAACTTAATCAACTTGCAAAACGTGACCCATGGACGCAAGTCTTAGGACAAGTCAAATTAAACATATGTACATGTCATCAAGAAACATTTCATGAAAAATATGTCCCATGTCATCAAGAACGCACACACATCCATATCTGCTCAGTTGGGACAAGAGGCGAACTTTATAAACTTGTGCCTAATCCGGGAGAATCGAACCAATCGAGTTTACTTATTTTTTATTTTTTAAAAGAAGGCAATTTGAGTCATATTATAGGTGTTTAGTGTAATTAATATTTTCATTAATTCACCCCTTCCCCCAGTTCTTGTTTCCTTCCCTTCTGCAAAACCCACTGTCAATTGCCCTAGCCCCCAAACCATATATGCAACAAAATTTTCTTACTCACAAGCCCAAACCCACATATGAATTTGTTAGAAAAATCTCTATTCTCAACCCTAAAATCCATAGCCACCCAAAACATTGTTTCACATTATCACAATCTTCAGCAACATAGAACCATAGTAAAAGTCCGTTTGAAATGGGTGAAAAACAGAGGTTTGGACCATATAATCGATGTGCAAACGGATCTTAAAGCAGCTTGTTTACTAAAAGACGCCATTGTGCGTTCACCAGTTGGGTATCTTACTGCTAAGTCGCTTGCTGATTCCCAAAAACTTCTTGGGCTTACAGTTCCTACACTTAGGTTTATTAGAAGATACCCAACTCTTTTTGAGGAGTTTCCTCACCCAAAGTACCAATCTTTGCCTTGTTTTAAGCTTACCCAGATTGCAAAAATTCTTCATGATCAAGAACTGAAGGTCTTTGAAGATAACCAGAGTGATTTGGTTGAAAGGCTTTCCAAAGTTCTTATGATGACAACCAACAGAATGGTAATTCTTTTAACACTTTTTTTTTAATCATTTGGTTCCATATCTTGTTGCTAAAGAAGGAGCTTTTCTTGAGGATCTTTTTTTTAGAAGGTACTAAGTATTCTATGAAAACTGTAGTAAGACTGCGTTTCTTGGGATTATTGCCAATTTTGAATGTAATTATACTTCTGTTAATTCATTTTATCCATCATGTATCCAATGTGGAGGAGCTAGTGGATTGCTATTAATTCAAAAATGCTTTGTATCAGATTGTGGTTTTGGTATGTGGTAGTTGGTGGTGCAGAAAATTGGATCAATTTGTCTAAGTTGTGAAGACTCCCTGATGAAGCTTTAAAGTATCAAGATAAAATGCCATTTTTGTGAATTTCAAAATACAGTTCCAGTACTGCTCGTTTTCTCTATGTGGAGCTGTTTTCTTCCTCTCATTTATCAAATTTGACTTGAATATTTGCAGGTGGCGCTGCAATCATTGCATCCTTTGAAATGGGATTTAGGATTGCCTGATGATTTTGATAAGAGATTTCCAGATCATTTTAGGATAGTTAAGGGAACAAATGGGTTGGCTTGCTTAAAGCTTGTTCAGTGGCCAGAAAAATATGCTGTGTCAGAGTTGCAAAAGATGAATGATGATAGCAGCCCTCCGGCGGGGTATAGGGAATTTAAAAGGGGCAAAGCTGCATTAGAATTTCCCATGAGTTTCCCAAGGGGATATGGGGCACAGAAGAAGGTCAAGGCGTGGATGGATGAGTTTCAGAAGCTGCCTTACATCTCACCTTACGAGGATTCAAGGGGAATCGACCCTAATAGTGATCTTATGGAAAAGAGAGTAGTTGGGGTTTTACATGAGTTCTTGAGCTTGACACTATACAAGAAAACAAAGAGAAATTACTTGAGGAGCCTGAGAAAGGAATTATACCTTCCAGATAGATTTACTCGAATATTTACTAGGTATCCAGGAATATTCTACCTCTCACTCAAGTGCAAGACAACGACTGTGGCATTGAGAGAGGGGTACCGTCGTGGGAGACTTGTAAATCCACATCCTCTGACACGCCACAGGGATAAGTTTCATCATGTTATGAGGACTGGGTTAATTTACCGAAGCAAAGGAGTGGACATTTTGCCGCAGCTGGACAATGTGCTTGATGAAGAAGAGAATGAATTGACCGATGAAGAAGAGATTGAATTGACTGAAGAATGCGATGGAACTTCTGATGCAGAGACAGGTAGTGATGAAGACTAGGATCCCCTTAACATAGGAATTTCTATAGAGGAAAAGCTCTTGAGGTACCTTGACTTCTGATATTATCTCTCTTGAGTTGTTATATTAGTGTTGATTGAACTGGATATTATATGTATATAAATGTCATCTGTTATGTTAAAATGGAATCTCTACTTTAAGGTCAACATTGAAAATTGGCAACTCTTTTGGGTTCACTGATCAATCGTTATAGGTAGAAAGGAAGTTCTTCCTTCTACATTTAACATCTATCTAGGGGTACATTTATATTGCTGTTCATACATGTGAGTTCCTCCATCCATTTTAATTTAGATAGCCGGAAGATGGATGTGAAAATATGACCAATCGTGGACATGTTGGCATGGTAAATTTTGAGAATTGGTACAACAAAGGAAGGATATTTCAATTACACAACATTGACAGTTATAAACATATCATATAATGAAACAACAGAAAAGATGGTTATATAAAATATTAATTTTTGATAAAGAAATTAGTTAGCACATATCTTCCTAGTCTAAGTATGTTACATAGAACACAATTCTACATGGACCCAACCATTAAGCTGATATAACTGTTTTCTCGCCCATTTAATTGAGTTTTTTAAATTTGTATGGTTTATGTTCTTTTTGTTGATATATAACTCTCAGGCATAATGTATTTCTTCTAACTTGATCCCATATTCCAAGATTGCAGAAACATTGTTCTTACGTCTGTTTAAGGAGGAAAATATATCTGTTGGAATGTTGGATACTGTTTGTTTTTTGGTTTCTCTCTCTCCTATTTCTCTGGGATAAAGTCTTAATTGGGTTTCTTCTAAATTACAGGAGCAAGCATTTTACGTGACACTTGGTAGTTGGTACCCTATTAAGTGGATTAGGACGCAAAGATATCCCACATATCCAGAACAAGAAGTGGAACTGTTGACAATAAGTGATACTTCCTCTTGGAAAAAGTTATAAGAGATCTACACCTTGTACTTTGTGGTATATACCAAGATAAATAAAATTCTTTATGCTTGTGACCTGAAGTGAGAGGCTTCAGAGAGAACTTCTTTTGCCGTGATAGACAAAGGTTCAGGAAGCCAGTGGTGGCTGGAGATGCTTTGGCAATGTGAATGACACTGATCTAGCTGCAAAAAAGATTAGGAATAGCAAAGATGGAAGGAATGAGATATGTAGTAGGGGATGTGGTCTGTAAGGGAGAGTTCTTGACGGCTCCAGGCAGTGAGTAACAGGGCATATGTATTAGTCTATTACTAGGAAACTTTCTGGCAACTTGATCAGCTTTCTCCCTCCATCGGCCCCCATTAATGTTAAACTAGGGATTTTTTTTAAAGAAAAGATCATCTGAAGAGTAGTTCTATGAGCTTTTTGGTTTCTTTCTCTTGCCAAGGCTTCGAAATGGTTCACAATGAATGCAAATTTCCTATATATGTGAGCAAGGGTCCCGTTGTCCTTCCGTGCATTGGTATGATAATCCTTATTCTGATTGTATGAGCTTTTGGTCTTATAAACCAGAAGGCAGCAACTCACTGAGAATGCTACCCTTAGTTGCGTGGACTCTTCACTTTTGATGCCACACCCGTGTCGGATTCACCAAAAGTACACTACTTTTGGCGAATCCGACACGCACCCGTTGACATTTTTAAGAGTCCGAGCAACATAGATGCTACCTTCCTAGTTGAGTTATATTCTTGTGAAGGTTTCTGCTGTATTGATTTATGATCATATTTTTATTTGTGACTGCAAATTATACTTATCAGTGAACTACGTTATTCAAATGTTAAAAGTCATGATTCTTGAATCATTTTATTAGGGTTTTAACTACCATATCTCCGCCTCTGCATTGTTACAACTGTTAGTAAGATCATAAACTGTATGAAGGGAAGATTTTGAATTTTCTCAAGGGACAAAACCAAATTTTGGTTTCTTCTTTCTACATCCAGTGACTTTTTACAATGAAATGTTTAATATGAAACCCCTTACAAACCAAGAGCTCCCAGGGGTGTCTTCCCTTGCCCAGCCTCAAAATAGAAAATTAACATGGCTAACATAGCAAGTCTAGCATGCTTGATCTCAGCAACCTTTAATCTCTCAAGCTTCTCTGTGTCAGGGACGTAAACTCCATTGTTAAGGGTACCAGCTAATGCCAGTGGATCGAAGAATTTGCCACCGGGATAACCCTGTTCGCCTGTGAAGTTGGCGAAGTTCTCAGCAGTCTTGGACCATGGAGTGGCCCACTCAACAGACTGAGAGTCAGGGTCGAAGAAGTCGACCCACCTTTTGCTCTCAACCCACCCCATGAGGATAAGTTGTGTACCAAGAAGTGTGCCAAAAGAGAAAGGTGCAATAGCACCTGGGTCAGCACCGGCCTCGAACCATGGAATGCCACTCCATGCTTGACCAACAAAGATGCCCAATACAGCAGCCATTGCCCATCTTCCATGAATGAGCTCAGCCTCTCTGTACCATTTCAAGAATGCAGGGTCTTTGCCAAGACCAAGTGGATCAAAACCATAGTCACCAGGGAGCCTGCAAGTTCAAATACAAAGTTAAGCCACTGCAAAAGAATTGAATGAAATAGGGGAGGAAGGAGCAGAGACAAAGCTAGATCAAGTTAAAGGTTCAATCTTTCTGCTCAAACCACATATACATGTTCTTGACACACAAATTCCAAATCCTAGATTCATGTATGGGGTGTGAGGGTTGGAGATGTAAAGTGAACTTACGAGCCATCGAGCCACTCAGGGTCAACCAAATTGCCACCACCTCTTACACCAGGAAGCCAAGATTTCTTGGGAGCAGCAGCCACCACAGTGAACCTCTTGGGAGTGGCAGCACCGCCAACTCTGGCAGCAAGGGGAGCAGCCAATAAGGCCTGACTTTTCTTGCCACCAGTCAAGAAAGAGGAGCTCAAACCATTCAGCACTGCAGCAGATGTTGTAGCCATGTGTGTTTTGTATATGATTAAGAATGGAATGATAGTAATATGCAAAGATATGGATGGTTGTTTCTTGTGTCTCTACTATGAATGAAGTAGTGAGATATAAGGTTATAAGATCAAAAGGGGGCCTTGTAAGGAGCCAAGTAGGATCAATGAAATCTGCACATGATCTCTGGTGGATAGATTTCGGACCAATAAGGTGTTGAGTTACATCTCTGTCCCTTTTTTGTACCATACACGTGGACACTCCCTTCTCCTTTAGTTTTGATTGTTTGTCTTAGTTGTTATTCCTGCACTCTATGCATACATGATCTGTAACCCCCCCCCCCCCCACCCACCCACCCACCCAAAAAAAAGATGAAAAAAATACAACCTTTGAAATGCTTGAACTAAAGATTTTGCTGTTCTTTTTTGTGGCGGCAATTGTCGTTAAAAGGTTGTGTTGGTTTAAGATGGTATTTAGTATCATAGCTTCTACTTAGTTCTATGAAGCTAAGGTACTAGTACTTGTAACTTGTAACAGCCATAGTTTTTATAATTAGTGTCTATACTTTTTACATCACTCATGATGACACCTGCAAAATGCAACCCATGAACTTGGGACCTAGAAAGGGCAACTCAAGAATTAAGTTCTAAAAATTCTAAGGGAGAAAATGATGTTTTTTTATAACCCCCTACCCCCACACTTAATTTGTATATTCTTTCTCCGTGAATAATAATCAAGTCGTAGAACATAACTTATAATACAATAACAGTGTATTATTCAAAAGATATCTGCAAGTAAATCTTTGTAAAAAAAAGAGTTAAATTGATAATCTTGAAAGATAGATTAACTAGTAGAATAGAACCATTTTAGACAAAGCAACAGGAAATATCTCATTTGGGTTTGCGGCCCATATAGCAATTGAGAATTAGTGGTGCTGTTTAAGAGTTATTAGTTAGCCAAAACCCATTTCCCGGGTAAAACCAAACAGAAAATAACGATCATCATCATTCCCAAGAAAAGAAAAGACATGAACTTCTATCCACAAAAAACAACTCGTCTTCAACTCAAATAATCTTTAAAAATTGTTAGAGAAATTGTTGTCATAATAGTTATGGCTGATTCTTTATGCAAGTTCTTGGATGCTCGGTGTATAACAGGTTCTCAATTCTTGGCCACCTATTTTTCTGCCCAAAAACCCCTCCTTTTCCCAACTCTTGTCAGAAGAAAAAGAAGAAGAAAATCACTTCAAATTGCTTTCTGCTCCACATCCATTTCCCCATATCTTGATGTCGTCTCTACCCATGGTATGTTTTCCCTTTTAAATTGCTTGTGTCTTTCTCTTATGTGATAAAAAAAATGTTCTTTTACCAATTTGGTGGGGTTTTGATGTTTCTTTTTTTGGGGTGTGGCAGAGCATTCTGATGGCACTTTACTGTTTCGGTTTGGGGACCCAAGTGAGATAGAGAAAGAGGTTGAATTGGAGGAATCCCTTTTGGGGGTTGAAGAGGTTGGAAGGGATAGTGAGGAGGAATTTAGTGTGGTGAACGTTTTAGATGGTGATAATGAGAGAGAAGTCATTGTCAAGAAAGTAGAGAGGGAAGCCAGGGGTGAGGCTGTGACTGTGGTAACTGATGCTGGTGTCTCTGAATCAGTAGTAATTGGCAATGGAAGGAGTGATTTTGTCGAAGTAGAGACTGGATTGAGTGAAAATTTTCTTGGAGATTCCGCGGATGAAATTGGTTTGATTTCACCTGAAGGAATTCAAAATGAATCTGTAGCTGAAGTCGGTATTGAGAATGCAGGACATGTTGAGGAGATTTTTGAAAAGAAAGATGATAGTGAAGCTTCAGTTCCACCACCACCAGAGAATTCTATTCCTTCTTTGGAAGTTGAGGAAAAAATGATGGGTCAATCAAGTGATGAATCATTTGAAGAATTGGATGATGACAATTCACTTCTTTTAAGTTCACCTGCAGCAATGCCTGTTTATTCTGATTCGGTAAACACTAAGGAAATTGAAGAATCTGAGGGAGAAGGTTCAAGTCAATTTACAGAGAATGATGGTGGCAAGGATTGCTGTGATGATTCAACTCATTCGATGGAAAATGGTGATATTGAGGCAGTGGACAATGATATTGAGATTGTCCAACACACAGAACAAATATCTGAAAATATTGATCCTATATTGGAAGGGCCCGTGGAGAGTGTTCCAGAAGGAATTAATCTGGGGAATACCGAAACTGTTGCTGACGAAATTAGTCCAGAGAATACTCCCGAGGGAATTAATATGGGGAATACTGAAACTGTTGTTGACGAAATTAGTCCAGAGAATGCTCTCGAGGGAATTAATCTGGGGAATACTGAAACTGTTGTTGACGAAATTAGTTCAGACAATGCTCCTGAGGGAATTGATCCAGGGAATACTGAAACTGTTGTTGACGAAATTAGTTCAGACAATGCTCCTGAGGGAAATGATCAGGGGAATAGTGAAACTGTTGTTGACGAAATTAGTCTAGAGAATTCTCTTGATCAGGGGAATAGTGAAACTGTTGTTGACGAAATTAGTCTAGAGAATGCTCCTGATGGACTTGATCTGGGGAATACTGAAACTGTTGTTGAGGAAATTAGTCTAGAGAATTCTCTTGATCTGGGGAATACTGAAACTGTTGTTGAGGAAATTAGTCTAGAGAATTCTCTTGATCTGGGGAATACTGAAACTGTTGTTGATGAAATTAGTCTAGAGAATTCTCTTGATCTGGGGAATACTGAAACTGTTGTTGATGAAATTAGTCTAGAGAATTCTCTTGATCTGGGGAATACTGAAACTGTTGTTGATGAAATTAGTCTAGAGAATGCTCCTAATGGACTTGATCTGGGGAATACTGAAACTGTTGTTGACGAAATTAGTCTAGAGAATTCTCTTGATCTGGGGCATACTGAAACTGTTGTTGACAAAATTAGTCCAGAGAATGCTCTAGGGGGAATTAATCTGGGGAATACTGAAACTGTTGTTGAGGAAATTAGTCTAGAGAATTCTCTTGATCTGGGGAATACTGAAACTGTTGTTGATGAAATTAGTCTAGAGAATTCTCTTGATCTGGGGAATACTGAAACTGTTGTTGATGAAATTAGTCTAGAGAATGCTCCTAATGGACTTGATCTGGGGAATACTGAAACTGTTGTTGACGAAATTAGTCTAGAGAATACTCCTGATGGACTTGATCTGGGGAATACTGAAACTGTTGTTGACAAAATTAGTCCAGAGAATGCTCTAGGGGGAATTAATCTGGGGAATACTGAAACTGTTGTTGACGAAATTAGTCCAGAGAATGTTGATATTAGGCATTTGTCTATGGATGCTGAAGACCAGAGTATCGAAGTCCTTAATTTTGAAAATGATGATCAAACCGAGCTGAGTAATTTGTCTGTAGATACAGAAGATCAGGCTTCCCGAAATAGTACCTTCAAGGATAGTGATGAGACTGATGTGATTGAAGTAATGCCTGATTCTCCTAAGCTGGAGGCTGAACCAGTTTTTGATGAGGAAGTTGATCACAACCTAATATCAGACTCTAATGAAAGTGAAAGTCCATTACCGGTGAGTTTTACCCACTTATCATTAAGGTTTGACGTGGTAGATTATTTGAGTATCATTACAGTGCTCTGCTTGCTATTAATTATTGTTGATGAGATGAAGCCACCTAAACAGATTATTTAGGTCGTTGGTTAATAATTTGTGTATCAAATGTTATCTGGACGATGCTGTGATTGTCTATTAGAGAATAGGCATTTATTACAGAATAATGTATCTTGTGCAATATGTGGATATTCCCAAATTTAGAGCTATATTCTAATTTATTCTAGTTAGGGATGCAACATGCCCCTTTGCAAGATTCCTCTGAGTTTAGCAGACATAAGACTGATCCTCAAGCTCAACTAGATATGGTAAACTTATTTTTAAATGCTACTACGGGTTTGTTGGTTTGCAGCATTTAGTGAGCTGGCTCTTTAAAACTTTATTATTCCTCCAGTGCAGTGGTGATTTAAGAATCAAAAATGATATTTCATAATGGCTGTTTTTTTAACCTTTAAGTTGGGAGTTCTCGTAGTTAATTAGCATAACACCTAGTTTTTTTTTCTCAACATAATATTATACAAGATGGAATATATATTGGAACTGTGAAATCACATTACTATATGTCATATGATATCATAGTGATATATGTACAAAGGTATGATGGATATGTGTCATCAAAAAAGCTTCTATTGGTGAAACACTTTAGTAACCTCTTCTCTTTCATACAATCTTAAAAAGAAATGGACAGCTTTCCCTTCTTTCTCTAGTTTCCAACACAGTGGTCTGTTATTCTTTACCTTTGCTATTAGTACGAGAGTTGGGTGACTGTCACACACACTAGTTGGTCGAAACCTGGCTGCAAAAAGCTTTTACTTCAGCTATTAACTTTCACTTGGATTGTTCTTTAGAACTTATGCTTTCATCAACTTAGTGAATTCATCAGCAATTTCCTGGTTCATATTTATCATATTTGATGCTCTCTTATTGACCGAGTAGTTATCCATCTTACACTACTTAAACACTGATCACTGTCCTAATGATTTGGTTATAGTAACATATTTGGTACTTGAAAGATTCCATGTACACCTCTTCATATAATTACATGCTTGAGTGTTTGTTTGGGAGCAAAACGAACTGGTTCTTCCAGCACTTTGTCCCAATCTATACTTAACTGTCAATTTTGTTTTATCCCCATCTACACTTCTCTCAGTCAGATGAAAATTTGCCTAGCTTATCCTTGGAAGAAGAAAGAAAAGAAGATGTAGAAAACACTGAGATCATGGAAGTGTATGGTCATGAAGTGGTTGAGGATAAATCTTCAGATGTCTTAGACAGCAGGTAATCTTGCTAATAGCTTGGACCTTCCCGATTTTAGAATTACTGCAATTGTTATATTTTTCTTAGCCGTAGAATGTATACATATTCTCTAAATTCTTTAGATACATATGTTGCTAAACTTGTTAAAGATTGGTGATGTTAGAGTTATTTTCTTTACATTTTTCTTCAGTACTATACTGATGTGGAGAAACACACATGTTTAATCCCTTAACAAATAGGAGTAGTTTATTTTGGCAAAATTCTTCACCCCCAACCCCTTTTTGAATACAAATTCTCTACTCTTGATACATCTGACATCTTATGCTCTCATTTTCAACAGCAAGGAAGCTACACCAGCAGCAGCAGAACTACTTCTGTCCTCTGGTGCTACTTTATTGCAATATCCCTCCAAGGTATTTCAGATATGCCTTATAATTTTCAATTTTTGAAGTTAAAAGTGACCACTTAGTCATGAGGTTGAATTGAGTTTTATGGTATTTTTGCTATTATGATGCACAAAAAAGGTAGTTCGGCTTTTTACTATATGTATATATACTCACAAGTTATGCATTTCCAGATGAAATAAATGTTTATTCATTAAAATTGAATATATGTCAGAAGATATTGATTGTTATTTTCTTGTAGCAAAAAAAACATCATGATTTATGAGTAAGAAATTCGAAAAACAATAAATAAACCAGGCATTCGCAGGTGGACACGAAGCATATTTTATTGCTTGTGGGAAGTGGCTAGGGGTAGCTGATGCAGTTGGTTCCTGGTCATTGGAAGGTAAAATCTCTCTGACTCGTTTTCCTATCGTGCATGGCACCTGTATAGCCTTGAGTTTCAGTCTAGAATTCATGAAATTAACTTCCATGGAATTTTAGAAGGTTAGAGGCACCTAGTGATATTTTCCAACTCAATGATGATCAAGTCCAGAAGCATTTTAGTATATATCTATTTTAAGAGGATGTATCTTTTATTACTCAGGGAGTGATCCAGGAGTATATGCCCAGGAACTCATGCAAAATAGTGAATCCATTGTTTCTCAGTGCGACACGGATTCAATAAATGACCCTAAGCAAGTCCTTAATCTGAGCGTCTCAAAAACAGATTCCCCTGGATCTTCAACAGTCTTGATTGCTCACTTTGATGGAAAGGTATATTCATTACCAAATTAATGTCTGTCTTGTGCTACACAACACCTCAATTATGGTATCTTCCTGGAAACAGAAGGATGCTCCCATATCTCACACATACCTATAAAAGCATAGTCCGGTGCACGAAGCCTCTCACATTCACACAGGGTTCGAGAAAGGGTTGCACCTCAAGGGGGTGTGATGTAAGCGGCCTACCCTGATACAAATAAAGGTATCATTGGCTGATTACACGGCTATAAGTCACATGGAGACAACTTTACTGATGCTCCAAGGCTCGCTTTCAGCCCACACACACCAATATATTTGTAAATTCATAATGGATTGACATTTGAATGAATTAAGCTGGAGTCTCGATTTGAATTCTTTATGTTATCATGCTCTTTCCTTTCTCGTTCTTTTCATTCGGCAACTTGCTAAATGTTTTCATCTAAAAGATATCATTAGCATGTGTGTGCACTTAATAACAATATAAGAGTAAAGAGTATTAGGAAGTTAATACTGCTATACAGTGAGAAACTTTTGCTAAGATATAGATTGCTGACATGTTACTGGAATAATCTTCAGTTCATCAATTTTCTTATACGCCAGAAAAGATCATGGAAAATATTTACGAATGCTCACTCATGAACTTACTTTGAAATGAAATTTATTGTTAACAGGTTCTTCATGTGGCTAATATTGGCGACTCTGGATTTATCATAGTAAGGAATGGCAGTGTTTATAGGAAGTCATCACCCATGCTTCATGAATTCAATTTGCCTATTCAAATTGAGAAAGGCGATGATCCATCTCAACTTCTGGAGGTATGTATGTGGACATGTTTAATGAGGCAATCCGTCTGAGAGATGTATCCAAGCTTGTATTCAGAAATTACTCCATTTCTTGTGTATTTCAACTTATGCTTCAGGAATACAAGATAGAGTTAGATGAAGGGGACATCATTGTCACTGCAACAGATGCACTTTTTGACAACTTATATGATCAAGAAATAGTGTCAATCGTCTCAAGGTCACTGGAAGCTGACAAAAGTCCTCAGGTGCCAGTGCTATTTTTGTTTACATTTTCTTATCTTTCCTTCTATGAAGTGTTACTGCTGTTTTTTTTATTTTGTGGGAGTGATCCGAAGGGTACAACTTCTTCTTAGGAGAATTCGTCCAAAATCCATCGTGTAATTTAATCACATTTCTAGTATGTAATGCAGTGGTCTTTTTTTTCTTCTTTAGGAAATTGCGGAGATTTTGGCAACAAGAGTGCAACAAGTGGGTAGTTCTGCTTCGGGGAGAAGTCCATTTGCTGATGCAGCTCAAGCAGCCGGATATGTTGGGTATACTGGTGGCAAGCGCGATGATGTCGCTGTCATTGTATCACTAGTTCAAAAGGTAATCGTGTCAAATGACAACTAGTAATATTACACATAGTTCCACGTAAATTCTTTAATGTTTCGCTTCCACTTTGTAAGCAGTTTTGATGTCTCAAAGAAAGTAACTGTAACATCTATGTTGATGGGGTTCAGTTGCTTCATTGAAATGTAAATTTATGGCATCTGATTCCTATGCCTACACCATCCATGTCTGCTCTCGAATGATTCCAATCATCTCTGTCTTAATGAGACCTTTCCCATTCTTTTTTATAACTATGGTGTCTAAGCCAGCTTGCACACACCTAGACTATTCCACTAGTTACTACTTTCCACAAGTACATGTATCGGTACTACTGAATAATTCTGTCTATCAAGGCTTAGGTATTCAAAAGTTATATCTCGAATATTATTAGATGCAGTTTTTGAAATTTATTTTTAAAGTTCACTCAATTAAACCCTGAGGCATGCTTGTGATATGATTGGAATGTGAGTTGGATTGGTCCCAAAGAAGCTCAAAGTCGCACTTTTGATATATTTGAACATCTTTTATGGACTAATCATAAAAGATGTGTGGACCAAATCATTTTTGGAATTAAAAAATATTTCCCCTCCTTGTAAAGGTTGAGCAAATATGTAAAAAAAAATGCTGATACTTTATATTCCACGTGAAATCTTTCTGCTGGAACTGCAAGCTAAGTCCGCCCTACCAAAAAGAATTCTTGTCTAATATTCTACAAATCTAATTCCAAACATGTACAAACATATTGGTGAAATACTATACTACTCTTTCAAAAGGTGTTCTCTTTGGTAGCGGTTTCAATTTTCTGATGTTTGATTGGTCAAAATATTTTTGTGAAGAAAATAAGTTTCTTAAAAGAACGAGAAAATGACCTTCCTAACCGTGGAAGTAAGAAAAAAAAAACAAATTTCATAAATGACATTACAAGATTATTATTTTCTCCAGACTCTCCTACACCTAACCCCACCCATTACCACTACTTGACTACCCCACCTTTACATGAAAATATTCTTGAAATAATATTTCTTATTTATTTGCCAAATATTTAAAAAAAATTAAGAAAAACCCTAGCTTTTAAGAAAACATTTTCGTTTGTACTAAACACATATTCCTTAATGCTTTGAGAGCGTGTGTACCAATTAGAGTGAATATTAACATGAAAGAAAAAAAAATGAAGTCAAATACGAAGCACATAAGCTTATTATTTGGACCATTAATGGGAGTAAATTTCATCGATCCTCATTCAGCTTTCTGCTTATTATTATACAAAAAGTTACTTTTCTGTTTTTTTACTGCATACAAATTTCATAGGGGCCCATGAAGGCATCACCAATCACGGGAGTAGCAACACAAAGAAATTAAGTAGCCACAACCCACTCACACTTCACTTTCACAAAATCAATCATAGCAATGACCACCTGTATAGCATCATCTTCTTAATCGCTATGTCAATTTAATAGTAAACAACTATTATTGAAATAAGGAATACATATGTACAAACATGTGTCTTTTGAATCTCTAAAACATATATACCTCTAACGAAAAATTCTCACGTTGCCACCTTATATTAGTGGTGGTACCAAAACAATATAATATGCTAATAGCCATTGAGATGCGCGAGCTCAATTAAACAAAATCATAGCGGAGCCACATACATTCCTTCCCATATGTTTAATATTCTTCTTGTTCTATAATAATATTTTTTGTATAGTTATTGAATATTCAACTTTTAATTTTAAAATAGTAAATTAATCTAATCTAATTTAATTTTAAAAATTAGTTAAATTGACTTTTAAAAAATGAAACGTGACAACTAATTTAGAACGGAGAAGGTATATAAAAATAATAATTTAAAGATTGAAAAAGTATGTGATTCAACCACCGGTCAATAAAAAAGCAGTACAATATATATAACTCATGATTTTGAGAAGTGGACTTCACATATACTTTGATTAATTAACTATTGCGAAAAAATTGATCAAAGTTAGCACCCTGCTCTTTGAAAGAAAAATATGCCGTTATCAGTAATCATAACTTTTTCTTTCCAACTAATGTGCTTATAATTGCATAAGCACTTGGGGACTCATAAATTGTGTCACATGCATCTTCTAACTTTAAAAATTTCACGCTTCAATTCAAACTTCAAAATTTGTACATGGAGATGCAATTATGAAGTATAGTGAGTGGGACTAGGCAAGATGTGACGTGTGGCATTTACTGAAGATCAAATTTGAAAATGGAATTCAAGCTTTACGCCGCATAATATCTGACACCGTAAATGTCTATATGACAAAATGATAAATTTTGAAAGATCATAAAACGCAGACAATCTCTATTTATTTTTAAAATTTAAGTCCAGTTAAATTAGAATACTTAAATTGAGACGAAGGAAATAATATTTGAAATCATTTTCATGGATTATATATTCCCATCCATGTTTTGAATTACAAAATCTGTAGAAAAAGTGGGTGTTATGCGTCAATTTAGGCCTTAAAGTGTCCCACTTTGTCGTTTTCAAATGTAAAAGAAACTAGTCCATGTTTGAAATTGAGCATGCATGGTGCATCAAATATCATCATAGTAGGATTTGCATGCCTAGGAATATTTGTTTGCCTTTATGAGGTGACAATTATCAAATAAGAAGTCATTCATTTTCTCTTAATTATTCGCTAGCTGTCTTCATATATTCCCTCCACTTTTACGCATGGATTGTGCTGTTTTTTCATCGTGCTAAGTATTTTGTGTCGGTTTGGATTAACTTATTTTTAGGTGCTTTTAATTTTTTAGTTTTGGAAATGTTATAAAATCACTCACTTTAATTTTAAGCTAAAAAAGTTTTAAAATAAATCAAAAGTAAGATATTATCTACTTATGACTTTTAATTTTTGACTTATAAGTTACTTTTCCAAACCAGCACTACATCTCATGTCTTAGGCATTATTGGAAGGAGACCAAAAAAAAAAAGAGAGAATAAATTTCAACAATGATTAGTGAAGTTTGGCCTAATAGGTTATCAAAGGAAAAATCTTTTTGTCAGAAAATTTGGCCAGAATTTATCTATCTTATTCTACCTTTTAAAACATTTTTATCCTTTTAACTTTAATACTTTTTAACTAAAAAATAGGAAAAAGATCATTTTATTTTAAAATAAAAATAATATTATATTTTTTTAAATTTTTTGGCCATTTAGCACTTCTCGTTATCAAATACATTTCAACAATGGTTAGTGAATTATTTCCAATTAATTTGTTTGTATGTCTAGTAGTATTAATTAACGAGTGTTAGAGTTATTTAATTTGGTGCTAATTTAAGAGACTCACTGCCAGACATACAAAACAAAACAGAGGTCTTGGCCTTTTCAGCTCAAATTTAGGGATTTACGGCGTTTCCTTTTCATTATTTAGCCGTTGCCAAAGTCCAATCGACTTCTTCCAACTTCTAATCAAATTTCTCCCAAAAACAAGGGCTCGTAGCTCATATTTAAACGTTTGAGTTAGATTAATTTTCAAAACTAAATTAGAATACATAATTTAATATTTTAAAATTAAATTTTTAGATATTTAAAACTTATACGAAAATTACTATAAATTGTAAAAAAAAATAATCAATCAATATAATGAAAAAATACATTTTAAAATGTTAGTCAAAATTCATATAGTTTGATTCTCAAAAAAAACTATAACAACTAAAAAGAAAACTAGGCGTATTTTATAACAACAAAATTGGTAATAACACATATTAAAAAGTAGTGTAATTAGTTGAAATCTTAACGTATCGTAACCGTTACTGTCTAACTGATTAGTGATATATCTCTGTCTCTTATGTTGGTTACGTGCCAAAATACTGTATCGAAATACTAAAATCTGATAGGAAAACGAATAGTTAGTGAAAAGTAGTCACGTAATTAGCAACTTGTTTACATAAAACGTCTTTAAAGATGCAAAAAATAAACAGTCCTATCCAGTGTGTACTACCCTCTTTCAGTTTTATTAATCCATATTTAACTTAACATTACGTATTAAAAAATATTAATAAAATAATAAATTTTATTCTATTATTTTTTTGAATTTAATAAATTTAGTATTTTAAAATTTAAAGTAATCATAATTAATAATAAAAAGAATTTAGTAATAAATTATTCTTAAAAATTTTCAAATAAAATAAGTTTATATTCATAGTAAATAAATAAAAATAAACATAAGAAATAAATATTAAATTAAAACAAGCTCGCAAAACTTTGTTAAAAAAAAGGAATTAATATAAAATTTACGATAGAGATGAAGACACACTAATTCAGTATTCTCCACCACGTGTCCTTTATTTTCTGTCAATTTATTTATGTGATATAGCTGAAATATTCAGAGTCAGTCACATTTATTTTTTATATCGAAATGTTTTTACCTGACTTTTAAATAGTATCATTATAAATTATAATATTTAATATATAAATTTGATATGCTATATAAATATGTCATTTTATTTGGTTTTAGCTGAGATTTATATTTTAAGTTTGAATATGCATAAATAAACATCTAAACTTATATTATAAAATTGAACAAATAACACAACACATCCTACATACATAATATTGTGTGTATATTGGTTAATTTTATTAAAAAAATAGTACCTATTTTTACACATCTAATCTAAACTTGAAAAAGCACAAACATTATTTGATATCAAATTTAAAATTATATTTATATACTACGGTCTATAAATTTCATTTTCCAAAAAATTACGTTAAATTGACAATCAAAATATAAAAAAATTGAATGTAAACGGTAGTGATAGCCCGACCCAACCCTTACCCGCCCCACTCTCTTTTTTACTCAATTTATACATACCCTCATTCCAACCTTTCTTCTCCATTCTGTAACCCCCAAAACTGAAAATTATTCCGAAATCTTTCTCCATTCCATTCTGTTTTCTCCTCAAATTATGTCTTCCAAAATGAACTCATTTGCTCTATTTTGCGTTATTTCAATTTGCGTTTTTTCTTGTAGGAGTGTAGAATCAGCATCTCGTTCGGCCCCTGCTCCGGCAGTAGACTGCAATAACTTGGTACTGAACTTGGCTGATTGTTTATCTTTTGTTACAAATGGAAGTACAGAGAAGAAGCCAGAAGGTACTTGTTGTTCAGGCCTTAAAATGGTGTTGAAAACTGACGCTGAATGCCTTTGTGAGGGT